CAGGAGCAGGCCCTCGTGGTGTAGGCTCTCGCGGCCATGGAGGCTGGTCGATCTCCCCAAGTGTGGATTGGACTGCTAGGGAAGTAGCCAAAGACGGGTAAGATCCCCTGGGAACGTTACCAACCTAAGACAGGGGACAGGCCAGCGCTGCTTGTATTCCCAATGACGGGTAAGGAACGTTTCCGCAAGGGACAACCTAAGACAGGCATTCTCTCGTTCATAAAACAAAAAAGGGGGAGATGTGGAGAGCGCGGCCTGAGCCAAGATGGCACCCGGGACCTCTGCCAAGTCCCATGATTAGGCGCATGATATACCGCCGGGCCCTCCTTCACTGCGCACCGCGCAAGCGCAACGCTGCAGAGCCTATGAACTGCTGACACGCTGGAACGGGACTTGTGGGTGGAGACCAAGGGATATAAGTATGGGACAACGGGGAAGGAGGAAGAAGAAGCTAGAAGAAAAGAGAAGAAGCTGGCATGGTGTAAAGGCTGAATAAACCGCTTTGAGAAGAACACGTTGTTGCCTCCTTCCTGCTGGTCAGGGGTGAGCGACAGAATGCTGCTGTTATGTCAATGAATCAGGGCTCACTGAACAAAATATCAACAAACTAAATGATCTCTCCTCACATCTTCAATGAACAAAGCCCACTCAACAGCTGATTTCCAAAATCCCTCCTCATGTGGCTTCTTCCTATCATTACTCCAATCGTTCTCCTTTTCAGCTTGTGCTCCTTCCTCCCTTGCATTATAAAATTTCTTCAATCTCAATTCCAAAAAATTTAAAATCAAACCATTAACAGTTTCTTTTACAGAGTTACAACCTCCTACCCACCAAGGACCCAGGCCTCAACAACCCAAGTCCTACTGCCTCCTAAACCTTCTCCCCCCATTTTTCATTACAGATATGACTTTCAGGCCTTATTACCTTCAACTCAGGTTTTCAGCATTCCTTGACCATCTTCTTTGTGACAAATGGCTCCTCCCTTTCCCATGCCCACTCGACAACTGGCTGGACCAACTTGCATTCTTCTACCTCCAGGGCACCTTCCAAGACGTCCACCCCAGTGAAATTTTTTCTTTCGGCGCCTTCTTATGGGGCCTCATGTGGCTGGTCCTTTCACTCACCTCACCCAACAATGCCCCCTTCCAGCAGAAAGTAGCCAGACCAATCAATTCCACCCCTTTATCCCTTAACCAAAGAGGTGGGAATGAAAGGCCCCAGCCAGCCACAATGAGGAACGCGCCCTCTCCAAAAGCTAAGCCTAGAGGTGGCCCCCACCTAAAATGGCGCTCCCACCTATAAAGGCACCCGGACAAACTAACATGGAGGCTCGGACAAGGCTTTCCAGGTTCTTCTTCCTCAACAAAGCCCACTGTTCCCACGCCCGTGAAAGCCCCCACCAATCCCCAAAATGCCTCACCTGCTGACCAATAGGTAACCGACAGGTCGCTTTAAATTCCTATAAAACCTGCCACATCCCTGCCTCCACACTGCAGCCTGATTCTCAGGTTCTGTAGCCAGCGCGTTCGTCTCATTGAATCTCTTGGCTTTAACGGGTGTTGAGTCTTACTGCGTGTCACCGTCTTTCAATACTTATAGTTATTAAATTAACCCTTTACACTTTGAATTAATCTTTAGTAGCTTTTGATTAAGATAAATCTATATGATTCCAACATGGATGGCCAGGACCAAAAGGCTGGCACCTTGTTAAATTAAGAAATCAATTTGGGTTCCAGCGCCCTAATATTTACCTGGGGGTTGTTGGGGTGATGGTGAGCCAGTGCCAGGCACTTTAGCACATTTCCAGACCTCCATAAGTGACCACCATTTGTGAGCCAAGTGTCTCTCCTCTCTTTAGAAGAGAGTGCACCAAGTGTTGGTAAGCATGTGGAGGATGTGGAACTCCCATCCCTAGCTCTTTGGAGTGTATGTTTAGGTGATCACTTTGGAACAGAGTTTGGCATTATGTAGCAAAGTCAAACGTGTACAAATCTCAAGATTCAGGAATTTTTCTCCTGAGTATATCTACCTTAGAGAAAATGTGGCATATGTGTATCATTTCATCAACATTGTTCCATCATAATATCTGCCAGTAGCAGAATAACATTAAGTTATACCAATGAAATGGCATATTATATAGCAGTGTAAATGAACTGTAACTACATGTACCAACATATGTGAATTTCAAAATCCAGTGTTGAAGGAAGCAAATCACAGAAGCATGCATACATACTGCTAGATTCTGTTTAGAAAAAGTTCAAAATCAGGAAAAACTAAACAATATATTGTTAAGAGATGCATTTATAATTACTAAAACTATTTTTTTTTAAAAAGGAAATGATTACCCCAAATTACAAAATAGTGGTTACATTCGGGGGTGAGGGGAAGAGAGGAAGAAGAGGGATTGCTCAGAGAACACACAGAGGGATTTAAGATATGGGAAACAAATATTCTACTTTTTTTAAAACCCCAGTAGTGAGCACATAGATATTTATTCCTTAAAATCATTATTTAAGTTACTTATATGTGATTTATACACTCATCTATGATGTATTGTACCATTTTAGAAAAAGGGGGATCAATCAATGCCCAGAAATGAATCCACAAGTTTAGCTAATCCATCATACTAGAAGACAGTCACCTCCCTTGTTTTGAGTGTTCTGCCCTTTTTTTGAACCAAGATGTACATTTATACTTGTTAAATTTTTCTCTTATTCTATTTGGCCCCTCTTTCCTTCCTCTTGTCCTTCCAAGCTGTTCCCAAAGTCATCATCATATCTACCAGTCATGGATCATCCTCTCCAGGAACTGGTATACTGAAATCTCTGAGCTAGCCAGGCTGAGGTCCAAATGGCAGCCAGTAGATGTGACAACTCTTCTGAAAGTCCACCTCAAAACAGCTTCCTTAACACACATACCTCCCTCCCTGCTTCTCCTGAGTTAATCTGTTTATAGCCTCAGTCTAATCTCTTATCAAGGAAGGCATTGTTTCACATTAAATCAAGTTGATAAGATGATGAGAGGGAATATTTTCACCCAAGAACATTGCTACTTCCTGAAGGGGTAAAAACCCTGACAGGGAAAACCCCTGTGGTTCTCATAGGTAGGGCTGATCTGTCATTGCTGATAACATAGGAGGAAGACAGAATAGACTCATTCATTCCTGGGACTTTTGTGAGTAGGTGTGCATTTTTCACATCTTAAAGATTTGCAGACACTGCACTGGACAAACGTCCCAATCCTGAAGACTTTTCCAGGCTCCAAATTGCTGAATCTTCCCTGCTACCTAGAGAGGTTCCAAATTACCTCTGGACAATGGGACACTGGGTGGTTAACCACTGGTTTTCAGTTTTGTTTCTGGTAAGTGATGTTTGACTTCCCATTAATTAGGAAGGTTAGCAGAGTAAGGAGATAGCATGTTGTTAATATTTGTGACGCTATTTGAAAGGAAACAATGCCATGCCAATTATTGGGTTTATCAAGGCCAATGAGTTAAAAAATCTAATTCTAGGCCAGATGAAAGGACAGAGACAAATAATATGCAATTGTTCATGTTGCTAAAGCATGAGTGTTCAGAATTGGGATGTTTTCATTTTCTGTCTTCTCCTTTTCTATTCCATCTTATTTCTAACTATTGCCACGAGCATTGATTTCTCTCTAATTTTTCCTATACTGCTGCCATCAAGATTTCTTAAAGTCATTGAATGTTTGAGATGGAAGTGATCTTACAGATCATCTGGCCCAGCACTGTCCACTAGAAATATATTGCAAGTCACATAATGTAATTTCTAAATTTTCTAATATCTATACTAAAGAAGTTAAAAAGAAGCAGGTGAGATTAACTTTTGACAATATAATTGATTTAGCTCCAAATACCAAAAATTTTGTCCTTTCAGCATGTAATCAATATTGAAAATATTAATAAAATAATTGATATTTTAAAATTTGTACTGTCTTTGAAATCTAATTGTGTTTTATACCAACAGCACATTTCGATGCAGACTAGCCACATTTCAAGTTCTCAGTGGCCATATGTGGGTAGTGACTGGCATTGTGTAGTGCAGTTATAAACCAACTTATTGATTTTACAGAGGAAAATAAGATCCAGATGTTACACAGTAAATCGACAGAAGAGTTGTCTCTCCAACCCAGCCTCCCCATGTTCAGGCCAGAACCCTTTTACTGCCATGTATGTACGATCCCTTTCTTACCCCATTCCCCACTCTCATTCTTTCATTTTGAGTCATGCCTGAGCCTGGAGCTCCCTGTGTTCTTTTGCACTTTTCTAGAACTTCATTCTTTCTGGGGCTCTTTCTCATTTCTCTTGTTTTTTCTTTGGGTCACTTAGGACTGTCCAAGTGCTTTAAGGAAAAATGCATGGATTTCCCCTGGAGAATTGTTTGTTTTACATTTAATAAAAGACCAAGTGCTTATTTAGTCAGGTTATCTCATGACATATTTTAAATACTCAATGCCCTATACATATTTGTTTCTTTTTGCATTATAATGCAAAAAGCACTCATTTCGGAGACTGGGAACCTGGCAAATACTTTTAGTTCTGCTACTAAATGGGTAAGCTTGATCAAATTATTTATCTTCTCAAGACTTCTGGTCCTGGTCCTTTGTGTGCATGGTGGGAGAAGTGGCAAGGGAGCAGGAGATTACTGAAGTGACTACATTTGATACAAATATAAAGGTATATTTAGCTCTTAAATCTATATTGACCTGCATTAAAAAAAATCCCCCTCTTATTTCTGCTGAGGGAGTTCATCACTAATAGTGGTGACTCACATTTAACTCTCTAGCTTTGAATTTCCATCCCCTACCAATTCTGCTGGCATGTTTAGACTTCTCACTAACTCTAAAAGATACTTCTATGCAATATTTATTATCTAGATATCTATCTATTTATTATTTTTTAAATTTATTTTTGAGTAGGAGTCTCACTCTGTTATCCAGGCTAGAGTGCAGTGGCATGCTCACGGCCACCTCAGTCTCAACTTCCTGGGCTCAGGCCATCATCCTTCCATCTCAGCCTTCCAAGTAGCTGGAAACACAGGTGTGCACCACCACACCCAGTTAATTTTTAAAATTTATTGTACAGACACAGTCTTTCCAAGTTGCTTAGGCTGGTCTCAAACCTCTGGGCTCAGGCTATCCTCTCACCTCCACTTCCCAAAGTACTGGGATTACAGGTGTGAGCCACACACTTGGCCAATATTTTTTAATAAAAAATAAATTACCCCTCCTTCCTCCCAGGCCTTTTACTTTACCTCCTTTTTTATTCATAGCGGAAGAAATGACAGTCAAGATGGGGGATGGAATTCCTAACTCCTGATGTCACTGTATTTCCTCATTTGCCTTACCTACAATTAATGATGGACTGACACAGAGTTTTTTCCACATGTCCCTCTCTGATCTGGAAATATTTCTGCTCCCTCTAAATAAGCTTTTCTCCTCTGTCTTCCAAATTCCTGAGATATCTGTGGCTTTCAACTCTCTTCTTCCATTGAAGTCAAAGATACTTCTCTGGAAGACACTCAATTCTGAAAAGGGTATCTGAGCAAAGGAGGCATGAAGAAATTGATTGGTAAAGCTAGTTTGGCAATGATGCAACTCTGTAGCCAGCATTTATTGAACTCTTTCTAAGCATCAAGCATTGCATTAATCACTTTACATGTATTATCTCCTATAAGTGTCACAGCATTGCTATGAGGTAGATACTGTTATTATTCTCATTTTACAAGTGAAGAAACTGAGATTCAGAGATATTAAATCACATATCTGTCTAATATTCCAAAACTATTACATGGTGGCACTAGAATTTGAGCCCAAGGAGTTTGACTCTGATATCACACTTTAAATCATTTTATGCTACACTACTAGAGGTGTGTGAGTGGCCTAGATCTAGGGAATCTGAATAAGCCATGTCCCAAGGTAATGACCCTTTACATGTGGGCTGAGATAGTTCTGATCCATCTCAGGGTGAGGGATGTAGACTAGAAGCATCCCAATGCCCTGGAGACCTGTTGATTTACAGACTATCACCTCCATACTTGGGCTAGAGTCCAGTTAGTTGGTCTCCAAGGCAATGGGCAGTGGGTTCCAAATTTCCCTCTTAGATAATGCAGAGACAGCTTGGGACAAGCAAAAGCAGTCTTAAGAGCTCAAATGAGTCCAAAGCAACAATAGGTTAATTTGAAAAATGACTCATAGTCTAAAAACAGGAAAATGTGTGTCAGGGTGTAATTAAAGAGGCAGACCCATCTGGAATGGTTTAGTTCTTTTCAGATGGGTATTGTTATAGAAGCTAAATTTTTGTTGTTGTTGTTTCTTCAGATATCCATTTATTCACTTATTGCTATCTTTTAGGTGCAGTAGTTTGAATACTCTAGTCCTGGAATTGGTAACTTTTTCTGTAAACAGATAGTATATATTTTAGGCTTTGCAAGCCATACGGTCTCTGTCCCAACTACTCAACTCTGCCATTGTATCACAAAAACAGCCATAAACAATACAGAAATTGTTATAGCCGCACCATGAGTAAGGAGTCTCCAACACACTGAGAGTCAAGTATTGAGTCCTTTAATGCCAGTGGTTGAGAGCAGGCTCACACCAGAAAGAGACTCTCGGTCCCAAATGAAGCAAGCAAGGGGTTTATATAGCAAAAAAACCGTAAGGTGACAGAATTTCAGTTCTGAGTAGGGACCAAAGGGGATTTTTCAAAGTACAGGTTATTAAACCATGGGGGGAAGTGTAAATTACATAGTGTGACAGAACTGTTTCTGGAATATCATAGCCCTCCAAGGGAGGGAAGAGAAAAGCCATAAATCGTGGGACATGATTTATGGCCCACTGGAAAGGTGAGGGTGGTCATACGGAGGAGGAATGATGGGGGAACTGGAAGATAAAATGGAAGAACTACTACAAAATGGAGTTACCTTGGTTAGGTCATTAACAGCTATCTCATTCCCTTCTTTTAGTTGTTCATGAGTCAAAGCGTTGACTCATCTATCATGGACAGAGAGTTGTAATGGGCCCTCATATACATGAGTTTTACAGACGCGATTCATTGTTTAATGAACTGGACCATCCAATTTAATATACAGGGCCCAATGAGCAGACCAAGAAGGAGGAGAAGCAGGGGCCTGGCCAGACCTGTAATTAAAGTGGTTAGCCATGGGCTCCAATCAAATAAGGGTTGAAACCAGGATTTGTTATTTTCTCTTTCCTTTTTTCTTCTGTCCAAATTTTCTCAAACGTTTTGGAGAGTGTTTTTAATGACTCTTGATCTATTGGCATGGAAACACATGATTCCCCTAGTGCTATGCAGAATCCTCCTTGGGACAGGAATAATAAATCTAGACCTCTGTGATTTTGGAGCACAACTTGTGCTAAGGATGTGACTTCGTCATGGAGCTGATCCATGGCAAATTGAATGTTTCCTATGTCTGCATTCATTTCTTGAGCCAGGTTGGATAAATCTAGGTCACTGCGGACTAGGGCTGTGGTGCTCAGAGCTGCTGTCCCAGCTACACTGAGGCCTATTAAGGCAGGTACTAGCAAAGGGGTGATGTGTTTCCAATGAGTGACCAGGAGGCCAGGAGGAGTCGGCAAAAGGGTTCCCTTGGGGCCACTATAAGTATATACCTGGGGAAGTACATGAATGGCAACACATAAGATAGATTCATTGTTTAACTTTTCAATGGTAATACATTTTGTGAGTCTTGCAGAGTATGCTAGCCAAGTGTTGGTAGGGGCCATATGAGCCATGGACTCTGACATGGTTAGAGTGAGAGACAGATTGCAAATGTCAGAAAAAAGAGCCCAAACCTAGGAATAATTTCATTTAATAAAAACTTTGTGACCACAAGTGCAGTTTCGTTTTTTGTGGCAAAAGCCTCCGCCCATACTGAAAAAGTGTCCACAAAAACCAGTAGATATGTGTAACCTGCATGAGGGGGTTTTATTCCTAGGTTTGGGCTCCCTCTTTCCATTGGTTCTGATAATGGTCCTGTCTTTACCTCATCCATAGCTCAAATGGTTAGCAAAACACTAAATATAAACTGGAAGTTACATTGTGCCTACCAACCACAAAACTCTGGACAGCAAAGTCTACTTCCCTTGTTTCTCCGGGGTTCAGTCCCTGGGCCCTGATACCATTTGGTGGTTTTGGTCCTTGTTTTGCATTTACTTGTGCACAAGATGGGCATGTTTCAGCAGCTGTGGCAGCAAGGCTTCTTAAGTCTTGAATGTAGTAGTATCAGTTTAGCATTTCAGCTAATCTAGTACCTCTCAGGTGGGTAGTAGAATGAAGTTGATTTACCAGAGGACTTCCAAGGGTGGTTAAGAGGATGATTTTGGAGTCCTTAGTTATCCATCATTCTGAGGTTTCTTTTTGTGCTCCCACTAGGTCAGCTTGCTCCTCTTCTTCGGGGGTATAGGTGAACTGTTTTGGAAGTGAGGGTACTTGAAAAGTTTTAGTTAGCAGGATAGTGAGGGGCTCGACTGGGAGTTCTGCTGCCTCATGAGCTGCCTGATCAGCTAGGTGATTTCCTGTTGCTCTGGAGTGTCTGATTTTTGGTGTCCTCTGCAATGAATGACAGCTACCTCTTTGGGAAGCCATATAGCCTCTAGAAGGGCTAAAATTTCCTCTTTTTTATTATAAAGATGTGGGGTGCAATTCAGGGTTAAGTATACAAATGTTGATTGTGCAGGTACCCTTGCTGATGAGGTATGCCCTTCCCTCCCCAGCAGTTTCCCTCAGCTGCCAATCCCTTTCTTACAGTATTATAATTGTTCAAGGTCTGCTTATGAGTGAGAAAATATAGTAATCTGTTCTTTGTTTCTGCGATAGATCACTGAGCATGATTGACTCCAAATCCATCCAAGTTGCTGCAAAGTCCGTATGTTTGTCTTTCTTTATGGCTGCATAATATTCCATTGTGTCTATGTACCACATTTTTTAATCCAGTCCAGCTTCGATGGGGAACATGGTTGTTTTCATGTTTTTGCTATTGTGAATAGAGCTGCAACAAACATACATGTGCAGGTATCTTTTTTGTAGAATGATTTGAGTTCCTCTGTGTATATTTCCAATAGGGGAATTGTTGGGTCATATGGAAGGTCAATTTCTAGTTCTTTCAGAAATTGCCACACTGTCTTCCAGAGAGGTCGCACTAGTTTGTGTTCCCACCAGCAGTGTAGAAGCATTTCTTTTTCTCGGCATCCTTGCCGGCATCTATTGTTTGTTTTATTAATGATGGCCATTCTTACTGGGGTTAGGTGGTATCTCAGTGTGGTTTTGATTTGCATTTCTCTGATAATTAGTGAGGTTGAGCACTTTTTCATGTGTTTGTTGGCTGCCTGTGTATCTTCTTCTGAGAAGTGTCCTCTTTGTTTTTTATAGTCTTACCTGCCAAGGTAAGAAGTCCTTTTTCCTTGTAGATTATGGCATGGACATGGAGAGTAGCAAAAGCATACCTGCTGTTGGTAAAAATATTTACCCATTTTCCTGTTCCCCAACACAGGGCCTGGGTTAAAGCAATTGGCTCAGCCTTTTGGGCAGATGTGCTATTGGACAAAGACTGTGACCAGATTACATCATGTGCTGTGGTTACCACCACATGGTTACCAGTCTTGCTGACTCCCTTTATTATCAGACTGCTGCCATCTGTGAACAGTTCAGCATTAGCCTGGTCTAGGGGAGTGTCCCAAAGATTGGGACAGGTGGCTTGAGAGACATCCAATACATCCTCACAATTATGAACTGGTGTTTCTGGATCATCATCGGGCATTAGAATGGCTGGATTGAGGCTCTGAGTAGGAGAGAAAGTTAGTCTAGGTTGGTCAAGTAGGAGGCTTTGATATTGGGTGATGCAAGCATTTGACATCCAGTGGCCAGTGGCTCCCTGAAGTAGGGCCTCTCCAACATGGGGAATGGTCAGGGTTGGGTTTTGATCAAAAGTCTGTTTGTCTGCCTCCTTAACTAGTATAGCTGTAGCACCAATGACTGGAAGACAGAATGGTCAGCCAGAGGCCACTGGGTCCAGCCTTTTTGACAAGTAAGCCATAGGTCACCACCACGGTCCTAAGGTCTGAGTAAGAACCCATTTTGAGTTCCCACTGTTCATGAGTAAACAAGTGGAAAGACTTTGTAAATCTGGGAGGGCCAAAGCCGAGGCTTGGGTAAGAGCTGCCTTTAACTGCTGCAACACTCATTTCTTAGTGGTAGTCCATATTAAAGGTTTTTCCCCTGCTGTGGCCAAATATAGGGGCTTGGCAATTTCTGCAAGTCCTGGAATCCATAACTGACAGTATCCTGCTGCCCCCAGGAATTCCCGTACCTGTTTTTTCAAGGTTGGGGTAGGGCTTCAAAGGATTGTCTCCTTTTGGGGCTGTGGTTAGGGTTTGCTTACCCTTTTTTTCAGTCACTATCCGAAATAGGAGACGTAGGCTAAGCAGAGTTGTGCCCAGGTCCTGGAGAAGCTGCAACAAAGCCTTGGTGCCTTTTAAGCAAGTGTTCAAGTCTGCTGCTGCAAGCAAGAGATCATCTATGTACTGGAGTAAAGTACATTCAGGGTGTAAGGCATGGAGCCCTGAGAAGTCCTGTTGCAAGGCTTCCCTGAAAAGAGTTGGGGAGTTTTTGAACCCCTGTGACTACTTCAAACTGCTGGGAGATATTCATTCTTGCAAAGCCCTCAAGTTTTTGTAACTTTTTTCAGATGTTAGGGGTCACCTGAGCCACAAAAGCCAAATTGATAGCCCAAGCATTTTCAGGTGCCAAGGGATCAAATGGGATATAGGTATGGAACACCTCTTGAAGACATTCAAGGAATACCCCCAGTAATTCCTTGGGACGCTGAAGAATTTTGGTAGTTTTTGAAAGATTGATAGGTTTCCGGGTCACTCCCCTCAGACCAGCTAATAGAATCCAGTGATAGGTATCTAATGCCCTGGACCCTGCCAGGGTATTGAGTTCCCACTCAGGACAAGAAAAGGGAAAAACTTCATTTAAAATTTCTTGACTTTCTTCCTCTGTGCCAGCGGTTGAGGCTAGGACAAACTTTCTAGCCTCAGCTCTAATGTGCTCTCACTCCTCAGAGGTAAATAGGGTTAAAAGGAGCTGCTGGCAATCATTCCAGGTGGGACAATGAGTATGCATGATTGATTCTACCAGAGAGGTCAGAACCTGAGGTTTCTCTGAGAATGGTGGATTTTTAGCTTTCCAATTGTACAAATCAGAGGTAGAAAAAGGAGCATACACAAAAAAGTGTCACTCAGTCTGATCTGCCCCCCATGGAGAGGGAACTTCCTGGAGGAGAAAGAGAGGGGTCAGATCCCTTTGGGATCAGAGGTGAGGGACAAGAGATGGGGAGGGCAGGGGAGAGGTGGAAGAAGTGACAGTGGGTGAGGAAGTTGAATTGTAGGGAGGAGGAAGGTGAGGGCCTGAGTCAGAATGAGAATGAGAGATGACTGGGTCTTCCAGAGGGTCCTCAGTAGGGAGAGGCAAGACAGGATAGAGTTTAGAGGTAGACTTAGAAGGGGCCAAACCAGGGGAAGACAGTGGGGCAGATGAACGTGATGGGAGAGGACAAAGAGACTTGGAGACAAGTATATGGGAAGGATCCTGAGTTTTAAGAGAACATACCTTCAACCACAGAGGGGGCTTTTGGACTAAATTTAACCATTGGTCGATATAAGGGAATTAGGGTGACCAGGAGTCCCCGTGATGACCTTCCAGACAGACTGAGTGAGGTAAACATCCAGAGACCCAGTGGAGGGCCATCCAACATTAAACGAAGGCCAGTCAGTTTCACAGAGGGTCCGGAGCCTGCCTTTTGAGAGGTGGACACTGTAGTCCTCAGTAAATCCAACAGAAAAATTCTGGACTGGAGGGTCAAGAAGCCCATGACTCCATATTGTCAGACCAGTGAAAAAACCAAAACTGAAGTCAGAAACTGAACCGAGACTCTATTCAGTCAACGTCTTGGCCTAATGAATAGTGTCCAAGGGACAGCCTCATTAGACCATGACTCCCTTAAACAGAATGGCCACAAGCAGAATACACTCTTACCTCCTAGGAAAATGCGGACAGACTAAGATATTTTTGAAGTGATGGGAAGCCAGTGGTTGTTCCAACTCTCTCCAGGCCAGATGAGAGGTTATGGGGTCCTGGATCATCTCAGGGGACGCCTCCCCTATAACTTCTCCACCAAGGCAGGGAGAGCCAGAGTGAGGCTGCTTCCCGGGCTTGGCGATCTCACTGGGGCCTCCAAATGTTATAACCACACCGTGAGTAAGGAGTCATCAGCACACTGAGAGCCAAATATTGAATCCTTTAATGCTTGCAGTCGAGAACAGGCTCATGCCAGAAAGAGACTCTTGACACCAAATGAAGCAAGCAAGGGGTTTATGTAGCAAAAAACCATAAGGTGACAGAGTTTCAGTTCTGGGTAGGGAACAAAGGAGATTTTTCAAAGTACAGGTTGTTAAACCATGGGGGGGATGTGTAAATTACATAGTGTGACAGAACTGTTTCAGGAATGTTATAGCCCTCCAGGGGAGGGAACAGAAAAGCCATAAATCATGGGACATGATTTATGGCCTACTGGAAAGGTTAGGGTGGTCATATGGAGGAGGGGTGAGAGGGAAACTGGAAGACAAAATGGAAGAACTACTACAAAATGGAGTTACCTTGGTTAGGTCACTAACAGCCATTTCAAAATGAGTAGACATGGCTAAGTTCCAATACCACTTTATTTATGGTCACTGAAATTTGAATTTCATATAATTTCCGTGTGTCTTTAAATATTCTTCTTCTTTTGATTTTCTCAATCATTTAAAAAATGTGAAAACAAAAAATGCAAAAATAATTCTTATTGGCAGTAGCAGTGGGGGGAGGCAGAGAGGCAGGATTGACAGTAGTAGCAATCTGCCTGGGGAAGGAGGGGCACATCTCATCAACAAAGGTACCTGCATAATTTGTATACCCAACCCTGAATTGTACCCCATGTCTTTAAAATAAAAAAATTGAAAGTTAAAAATAATAATAATAATTCTTAGCTTGCAAGCTGTGTAAAACATGTTATGTGTCAGATTTGGCCGTTGGGCCTTAGTTTGCTGACCCTGCTCATTAGCATCTAATACATGTCTCAAAGTGCTAATTCACTCTGATAAAGTTAGATACTGGCAAGATTGTACTGATTTAAAATGAAAATAGACAAACACAAAATAACCAAAATGACAACACTATTCCCTATCTTTCCTCTACTTCTTATACTCAAATTCCGCTTCATTCCTTGCTATTTTTTTTCTTCCTTTAGGCTGTTTGGCTGGGGTTGAATGTTTTCCTGTTTGTGGATGCCTTCCTGAAGTATGAGAAGGCTGACAAGTACTACTACACAAGAGCAATCCTTGGGGTGAGTATCACAGTTGTGATGTGGAGAATCTCTATTTTTTCTTATCTTTGATTTCGGCTTCTTTGTGACCAAATACCTTGTTTTCCTCTAGGGCTAGGGTTGCCAGAAAAAGTACAAGATGCCAAGTTAAATTTGAGTGTCAGATAAGCAGCAAATAACTCTTATATATGTATGCTGCAAATATTACATGGAACATAGATATACTAAAATATTCATCTTTTAAAATCTGAAATTCAAATTTATCTTGGCAGCTTGTATTTCTATTTTTATTTTTTTACTTTAGAGTTTTAGGGAACAAGTGAGAATTTAATACATAAGAAAGTTGCATGCAGGTGAATTTTGGGCTTCTAGCTAGCCCTCTCTCCCCCTGATAGTGGACCAGGTACCCAGTGTGTTGCCACGTGCCCTCCTCCCTCTTCCCTCCCTCCTTCCCCTAGTAGTGTCCAGCATCTGTTGTTCCTACCCTTGTGCTAACGTGACCAGTGATCAGGGCCTACTTATGAGTGAGAACATGGGATATTCAGTTCTCTGTTTCTGTGATGGTTCACTTAGTATGATGGTCTCCAGTTGCATCCATGTTGCTGTGAAGGCCATGATGTTGTTCTTCTTTATGGCTGCAACAGCTCTATCTAGGGCACACTCCCTACACCCAATAAAGAAAATACGCAGTAAAGAAAATCCCATGATGCAATATACTTATTTAACAAGTGAGAGAGAGAGAGAGACAGGGAGAGAGAGAGAAAGAGATAGAAAGAAAGCTGTTAGGCAGTGGTTTTCAAACTGGTTTCCAGAAACTCAGGTGTGAGGGTGTAAGGGGAAGGCTAACTGGGCAGTGCTCCTGCCCCTGCCCCTATTTCAACCAGAGCAGCCTGTATCTGTCTTACTGACTCCTGCTTACAATTTAAAGAGCGAATTTGGTTAAAAACAAAAAAATAGAAAGCAAATCAAAAACCACTGCTGTGAATTAATATCACAGAAACATATCTATCAAACAAGAGGGATACTAAGGCATCTAGGGGCTAAGGGTGCTGAAAAATTCAAGAGCTGTAGACAGGTGGGGCCAGGTCAGGGTAACAGAAGGGAGATGGCTGGGGAAGTGGTGGATCAAAAACAGAAGAGGTGGGGTGGGGGTGGGTGGAGCATATGAGAGTGGAGGTGACCAAGAGGAAGCATGGAGGTAAGGATGGTTCTCCCATAGGCTGATGAAACCTGGGTATCACCTGGTTAGATAAGCAAATTTAACTGCTGTCTCTAGTCTACAGTAAGTCACCTACATACAAACCTTCAAAGTTACAAACGTTAGCATACACACCTGCATTTTTTATGTTATTTCTCTCACCAGATGTCAGTATAGCCTGTTAAATACATACAGTACTATATCACCAATTGTGTTAATTGAGTACCTAGATTAACTTTGTTGGACTTAAAACAAATGGATTTATGAATGCACTCTTGGAACCAAACTCATTCATATGTTGGGAACTGTATTATGCACTCACAGGTAGGGGATTTGTTTAAATCACTTTCATCTAGATGGTGCCTTTTTTTAGTAGCTTTCTACAAAGACTCACCCAATGTACATATTTAAAGATAGCTCATCCTTTAAAAAAAAAAAAAACTCTTTTTGTCTCTCTGTAACCAAAGGACCCTTGCTGAGATCACAACTAATTTGAATGTTCTGTTCATGGCTTGTATCACCCTGCTGTTTTCCATTTTTAGTGTTCATCCTTGATCCTTTTTTAGAAACTATGACTCCAAAGGAAGTGTCATTTGTTTTAAAAACAGCTTTTTATTAAGAGAATGATGCAATAAGTGTGATTAGTTGTTGAGTTTGATTACTACATGATTAAAAAGTCAACAGCAGAAAATTAAATCATGCTGATGTCCTGTGAACATTTCATTTTTTAAAATCCTATTTTTAAAAATTAATTATCGTCTGGCCTTCGTGGCCCATGCCTATAATCCCTACACTCTAAGAGGCCGAGGCAGGAGGATTGCTTGAGCCCAGGAGTCCGAGACTAGCCTAAGCAACATAATGAGACTTGTCCCTACAAAAAAAAATTACCCAGTATAGTGGTGCATGCCTATAGTCCCAGCCACTTGGGAGGCTGAGGTGGAAGGATTGCCTGAGCCCAGGAGGTCGAGGCTGTGGTGAGCCATGATTGTGCCATTGCACTCCAGCGTGGGCAACAGAGTGAGACCCTGACTCAAAAATAAATAAATAAATGAAAATTAAAAAATTAATTATCAGTAATGCTTCTTTCAATGAAATCAAACCATATAGAAGTTTATAAGTAAAGTGTGAAAATTCCACTCCCATCTTGCTCCACAGAGATAACCACTACTAATAGTTTGGTGTGCATATAGAGAGACACACTGACATATGCTCGCAGCATAAATTTTGTTTTAGAAGCAGGTACTATGTTTATTCACTTTTAATTTTCATATAGTAAAATTTGTTCTTGCTGATACATAGTTCTATGAGTTCTGATAAACACATAATAGGACACGTAGGTTTTTGTTTTGACCAAAAAAGGAATCACAGTGTAGATATTGACTGGAAATTGCTTTTTAAACTTGATGTGTTTCAGATATCTTTTCATGTGAGTAACAAGCAGTCGTACGCTGAAACCAACTCTTACCAGTTTACAGCAGCCAGTTGTGTGTATCTTTTTCTGACTCTGCATTCAGTGATGTTCAATGACATCAAGTTGGTGTCTTGAAATCTGCCATGGCAGAAGTATTTACATCATCAAAATTGGCAAAGGTTGGAAATCAGGAATCCCCCTCCCCAAAAAAGCTGGTTGTTAAAACATTTATCACCACTACATACAGCTTTCAGCCCTTTAAGAAAAAAACAGCCCATTGCATTTATGTGCCATAATTCATTTAATCATTCCACATTTAAATTCATACTCACTTTGGGAAAATACAGAGAGCAATTTGATTCACTTTGAAGCTGAGCAAATAAGTAGCAGAGGAAGAAGTTTAAATGCATAGTCAATGAGGCGTTAGTGACAGCACCAGTTCAATTATAACATCAGTGAGTGTTGATATAGAGAAAATAACATACATTGGTATATTTCAATGTGCTGCAATGGGGAAAAACGATGTTCTTTAAAAAGAATTCATCCCATACAGATAACTGCCACAGAATATGGAGCTGTGAAATTATAGTCCTTTATTTTCAGTTCACTTGCCAATTTTAGCTTTAAGAAAGCTTTGTGACTCAAATAAGCAAGTGGTGGAAACCAGTGTGGAAATGCAGACTCTCTGAGACAAGCAAAGGAAATTAACTCAGAAATGACACTGGCTGTCAGTACCAAAAACAGTCGAAGTGTGACTCAGCAGAGGAAGAAAACACAGGTCATGTGGAAGAGCCAGAAGCGGAAAACAGTAGGGTGGTTCTTGTTCACCACTTTGCCTCACATCGTAAGCCATTATGGACACTACACAAAGCTTGACCTGGCTTATAAAGCTGATGTCACACTGTCTTAGGGTTAGGTTGTAAGGAAAATATTTTATGTGCCTTAAAGATTATTATTAAAAGGCTGAGAAATTGTTAACCTTAACCCATATTCTTCCTTTCAGCAAATCTTTGACAGGTGTACACGTAAAGCTGGTCAGTCATCTGAAGTACCACAAAAATTGCCTGACTGCTGCCACTACTTTCCCTATTACTACAACAGTGTCACACGCCATAGCCTGCAGTCCCGAGTTCATGAAGTAGACTCAGAGACAAGTGGTCCAGAACTGAGGAGGGAAGTCAGACTTAGCTACCACAGACTTGAGCATATTCTGTCTAGTCTATACCTAGTTAGGCTTGTTTCTAGGCTAAATATTTCTTTGAAGCACTGACTCCTTGTTTCACTTTCTAGCAGCTTCTACTGCTGAATTGGGTTGTTCTTGATTTATGCTGCCTGACCATCCAAAGAAATCAACTTGAAATTCTGCTCTCAGGAGTTCTCCTTTCTTAAATCTTTACCTAAGTTTAAAAATTTTTGTTGTTGTTGTTGTTGTTGAGTTGGAGTCTCACTCCATTGCCCAGTGCCCGCTTCCGGCCACTGCAGCTTCGACCTGCTGGGCTCCAGCGATCCTTCCGCCTCAGCCTTCCGAGTAGCTGGAATTACAGGCATGCGCTACCACGCCTGGCTGATTTTTTTAAAATTTTTATTGTAGAGATGAGGTCTCGCCAAGTTGCCCAGGTGGGTCTTGAACCCGGGCTCAGGCAATCCACTCACCTCAGCCTCCCAAAACGCTGGGATTATAGGCTGAGCCACCGAGCCCGGCTTAATTTTAAAATTTTTACTCTAAGGGGTTTACTAGTCTTGTCTAAGCTTTATTCAATTTTAGAAACATCTTAAATATAAGTGGTTAAAATTTTTGATTGTTTTTATTATCCAACTATTACATGTATAAACTGCAATATCGGAAAATACAGAAGGCCAGTGTGGTGGCTCATGGCTATAATCCAAGCACTTTGGGAAGCTGAGGCAGGAGGATCGCTTGAGCCCAAGAGTTTGAGACCAGCCTAGGCAACATAACGAAATCTGTCCCTATAAAAAAAAAGTTAGCCAGGTGTAGTGGTGCATGCTTGTAGTCCCAGCTACTTGGGAGGCTGACGTGGGAGGATTGCTTGAGCCCAGGAGGTCGAAGCTGTGGTGAGCTGTGATAATCACTGCACTCTAGCCTGGGCAGCAGAGTGAGACCCTGACTCAAAAAAAAAAAATGCAGAAAATTATAAAATAGTTATCATCTGTAATTATACTGCTAAGTATGAGCTTTGTTTAAAATGCAAATGAAAGTATATATGCTCCTCAAGACGGTTTTACAAATGACAAATAAAAAAATCATAATTAATGATATTAAACAAAATATTATATCAATAGAATGCACTTGCCAACTTTAAATCCTGTTATCTTTCATATTAATAAAGGTATAGTCAAACATTTCTAAACCACTGTCTTGGGAATTTCTCAATTTAGTGTTAAATTCAGAACAGTTTCTGTCTTTTGAAAATAGAGTTTGGCTACTGAGAGAGAAGGAAGCTGTATCCTTGTCCATTTTCAGGTCTCAGACAAGTGGACTGGGTCAGTGCTCACCAGCTGGATGGTGAAACGAAGCAGCTGATGGTCTCTTTTCTCCTCTGCTCTAGTCAGCATTGGCCTGGGCCCGAGCCTCTGCTCTCTGCTTGAATTTTAACAGTATGCTGATCCTGCTTCCCGTGTGTCGTAACCTGCTGTCTTTCTTGAGGGGCACCTGCTCAGTGAGTTCCCATCAGTCTAAAGTCAACTTTTATATTCAAGAAAGAGACCCTGGGCTCCTCAGTAGGACAGCCCAACACCAGGCTCCTAGGAATGGAAGCCAGAGGTCTCCTTTTGGGAGCTAGGGGGTTGTATAAGGATGGGTAGACGATGGCATGCTGTAAGACATGTTGGTTATGGGTTATTGAATTTCATAAAGCTGGCTGGGGACACCTGACCATGATCACTTTCCATTTGTAGTTTTGCAGCCGCACACTGAGAAAGCAATTGGATCACAACCTCACTTTCCACAAGCTGGTGGCATATATGATCTGCCTACACACAGGTAACTCAAATAAACCATGAAACTGCAGACTTCAGGGCAACCAGAGTCCGTTTTCATCCATGCATGCATATGCTCATTCAAAAACTATTTATTGAGTCCCTGGCATTATTTGTCAGGCACTGTTCTAGGCCCATTTTCATGGAGCTTACATTCTATTCCTTTGGGAACAGAGTAAGTATAAAAAAGATCTTGGATCTCTCTGCAATCAAGGATTTATTGGATACCTCCTGTGGACTCAGCATTCTGCTAGGCACTAGCATGCAGGATTCTCCTAGTCTGTGGAGCACGCCTGCCATAATGTTCTTGTGAAGCCTCTTACGTTTCTTTCCATCTTTTCATTTAGCTATTCACATCATTGCACACCTATTTAACTTTGACCGCTACAGCAGAAGTCGACAGGCCACAGATGGATCCCTTGCTTCCATTCTCTCCAGCCTATCTCATCATGAGAAAGAGGAGGGGTCTTGGCTAAATCCCATCCAGTCCCCAAACATGGTGAGTTGACTCTATAGCAAAGCATCTGAGATCTGGTCATGAGCAGGAAGGGCATGGTATTCTTGGTGGACGTTGAGTCAGGCTGATATTTTCTCCTTTCACAGACAGTGGAGTATGTGACATTCACCAGCATTGCTGGTCTCACTGGAGTAATCATGACAATAACCTTGATTCTCATGGTAACTTCAGCTACTGAGTCTATCCGAAGGAGTTATTTTGAGGTCTTCTGGTATACTCACCACTTTTTTATCTTCTATATTCTCGGCTTATTGATTCACGGCATTGGGTAAGGTCCTCAAATCCTCATTCTCATGCCCCAGCCCCCAAACTTGCATAATTCTTTGCCCCAATTTGTCCTTCTTTGTCTGTTTTAGTGGAATTGTCCGGGGTCAAACAGAGGAGAGCATTGATGAGAGTCATCCTCACAAGTGTGCGGAGTCCTTTGAAAAGTGGGATGATGGTGACTCCCACTGCAAACGCCCCCAGTTTGCAGGGCACTCCCCAGAGGTAAGAACCATATGGACAAGAACAGACTGTTGTTAGGAACTGTTACTGGCATTATTATTATTATTACTATTATTATTAGCTCAGCCTTGTTCTGGGTCCCAGGGTGCAGACTGGTACCAGTCAGTGGCCTTTTAGAAAATGGGTTGCACAGCAGGAGGTGAGCAGCAGGCTTTCTGTCAAATCAGTGGCAGCATTAGAGTCTCATAGGAATGCGAACCCTATTATGAACCACACCTGTGAGTGATCTAGGTTGAGCCACTCCTTATGGGAATCTAAAATCTGATGATCTCCCCCACCATGTAAAAATTGTCTTCCATGAAATGGGTCCCTGATGCCAAAGGTTGGGGACTACTGCCATGAAAGATATCCACAGGATTCATACCTTCAAGGAACTTCCAATAGCACTGACAACAAGCAATTAGCAGGTGATCTTGAAGAGGAAGAACTAATGATTGCTGCATGTTGTGAGACCCTCTGCAAAGGTGACAATGATAGCCCACATTATTAGTTGTGGTTACCATGTACCAGCCTTGCAATGTAATATGAATTATCTCATTTATATATAGCAGTAGTTTGTGAGATAGATACTTCTTTTGTCACCATTTGAGACAAAAAGACTGGAATTCCAAGAGATTAAGTACACTGTCAATCTCTCATGGTAAATAAATAGAGGGGCTTGAATTCAAGCCCAGGCCTCTTGGATTCCAAGGATTGTATTCTTGACTACTGTACCGTCCCAAAGCTCAGCTGTGAAATATCAGTCCAATTTGGGGGAAGGGAAAATGAAACATTCTTGAAGTGGGCTTTCTTTTGTCTTATAACAACGTGCTTGGACATTTTTGTTAGGTAGTGTATGATTATAAAACTGGGTTCTAGGGAACTCAAGGTGTGATCCAGAATTATTATTTAGGATATTATGGTTTACTTTTGCTTGCTCATAAAATAGGTTATATTGAAGACTAAATGGAAAGGGAAGATTGACTTGTGGTGCTTCCAAGTGCTCTGAGAATTATTAAGTTTTTAAAATCAGATGCAGGGTTAAGAGCAATAGCTTAGTTCTCATCTGGAAAGGGAAGAATATTTAATACAAAAAGTCTAAAGTTGGCATTTTGGCCAGCGTGGTGACTGACGCCTGTGATCCCAGAACTTTGGGAGGTAGAGGAAAGATGATTGCCTGAACCCAGGAGTTTGAGACCAGCCTGGGTAACTTGGCGAGACCTCATCTCTACAATAAATTTAAAAAATTAGCTGGGTGTGGTGGGTCATGCCTGTAGTTTCAGCTACTTGGAAGACTGAGGTAGAAGGTTTGCCTGAGTGTGCCACTGCACTTCAGACTGGGCGACAGAGTGAGACACCTACTCAAAAAAATAACAATAATAAAATAAGGTTGACATTTTAATTCAATAGGAAAATGATAGATTATTATTTTTTAGGACAATAAGATAGTCATCTGGGGACAAAAAGCTGTGTCTTCATTTCACACCTTGCTCTGAAATATGGGTCAGGGATGCATGGAGCAAGAATTTAAATGTTATAAAAATTAAAAAGGACCCTTAGACCACGGGGGAATATTTTTTCTAATGCTGTATGGAGGGAGATGTTTCCAAATAAGATAAATAAACTTGAAGTCAAAAAAGAAAACATACTACTTTTGTCTGGCCAAATAAAATAAAATAAAATAAAACCCATCATAAATACAGATGAATGACAAAGTAGGAAAAGTTTTTTGGTTTTGTTTTTCTAGAGACAGGGTCTCACTCTCTTGCTCAGGCTGGAGTGCATGATCATAGCTCACTGTAGCCTCGAACTCCTGGGCTCAAGAGATCCTCCCACCTCAACCTCCTGCATAGTTGGGACTACAGGTATGCACTACAGGTATGCACACCCAGGTTAATTTACTAATTTTTTTGTAGAGATGGGGGGTCTTGCTATGTTACCCAGACTTGTCTCGAACTCCTGGCCTCAAGCTATCCTCTTGCCTCGGCCTCCCAAAGTACTGGGAATATAGGCATGAGCCACTATGCTCTGTCAAGAAATGTATTTACAACTCACAGGCCGTAGACTAATTTCCTAATATAAATAATTCCTAATAAAAAGAGATGTAGAAGATATGAACAGAATGATTGCAGGAATGAAGATATATCTTAGTATTTAATATAAAATGATGTTATTTATAATGAAAAAAGTAAAAGAAAAAACTACAAGAATCGTTAACAGATTAGCAAAGATTCTTCACTGGGTACAAAGTACACGATTCAGGTGATGGATATACTATTTGGATGATGGCCTTCACCACCAAGCAATATATCCATATAACAAAATTGCACTCATACCCCTTAAATGTATAAGGATACAAAAAAATTGTTAATGTAGGGTGTTGGCAAGAGTATGGGGAAACGCTCTTATGCTTTGTTGGTGAGAAAGCAAACCTATACAACTGCTTGTAGAGGGGGATTTGGCAGTATCCATCAAATTTTAAAATTCTACTTCCAGGAGTTTATTCCACAAATATGCTTGTATATATGCTAAATTACATGTATTAGGTTATTCGTTGCAGCATTGCTTGATAGAACAAAAGGCTGGAAACAAGTGTTCATCAATAGGGAACTAAATTAAACTAAATTAATAGTTAAATTGCAGAACTTTTCTACAGTTGAATACTCTGCAGCCAGTAAGAAGAAGGAGGCAGCTCTGTAGGCACTTGTAGGGACCAGTCTCTAAGATGTCACATATAAAAGGCATGGTAGTATGTATACTCTTGCTATCATTTGCATTGAAAAGAGCACTTAAATTCATGTTCTCCAGAAGAATTCGAAAGATGATAACATCGATTGCCTCTAGGGAGCTGGAGGACAAGAATGGAAGGGATATTGACTTTTTACTGCATATCCTTTTGGTTTGTTGTTGTTGTTGTTGTTGTTTTGAGTTGGAGTCTCACTCTGTCACCCAGACTGGAGTGCAGTGGCCGCTCCCGGCCACTGCAGCCTCGACCTATTGGGCTCCAGCGATCCTTCTGCCTCAGCCTTCCGAGTAGCCAGAATTACAGGCACGTGCTACCATGCCCGGCTGATTTTTTTGATTTATTGTAGAGATGAGGTCTCGCCAAGTTGCCGAGGTGGGTCTCGAACCCGCGGGCTCAGGCAATCCACTCACCTCAGCCTCCCAAACCGTGGGATTACAGGCTGAGCCACCGAGCCGGCTGCATATCCTTTTGTACTTTTGGATTTTGTGCCATGTACATGTATTACCTATTTTAAAAGTAATGTTGAAAGGACATATGTTAATAGCACATTTCATTTCTAAAGTCAGAGGAAATCATAAGATTATAACCAGGGACCTTCTATATTATCTGACTAGCAGACAAGAGGGTCTCAAAGACAGAGAGCTTATTAGCGAAATTTACTAGCTAAGACAGTTAATAGCCCGTCTTACCTTCCACATCAGCGTCTATCCTTTTCCCATCTATTACCTGAAATAAGTTATATTTGGCCTATTTGCTTTCCTTAAAACTCAGGAGTTACCTTGATTGGTTGCCTCATAGCTTAAGGGAGAGAACACTATTTTGCCACCTGAATGTACTGCTTTGTTTCTTCCATAACCGTTTAAAAAATACTCTCTCCACTTTTCCCCCCATTTAAAAATTAGAAAAATAATAGATGTTTATTGTAGAAAGTTTGGAAAATACAGAAAAAATATTTAGGCACAGTCTACCATGCCTTGCTAATTTTTAAAATTTTTTGTAGACATGGGGTCCCACTATGTTGCCCTGGCTGATCTTGAACTCCTAGTCTCAACTTGTCCTTTCACCCTGGCCTCACAAAGTGCTGGGATTACAGGCATGAGTCACTACCCTGGCTCTTAATCATTTCTTTATCTCCATTTCCTAGAAGTGAAGTTCCAGGATCAAAAAGAAGAAATGCTTTTGAGGCTGTTGAGATGTACTTCCAAATTGCTCTCTGGGAAGATATTGCCAATTTGCATTTTTTACCAGCTGCAAATGTGAAGATGCCCATTTCCCTTAATCTCAGTTAATGCTGGGCATTATTACTTTAAAATATAAAATTTGAGACTAAAATGCTGTCTTGTTTTAATATTTATTACTCTGATTACTTCTGAGGCCAGTATTTTTTCTATACTGTTGCTACTCATTTCTTAAATATATTTTTTTGTGTGTGTTAAAAATTCAGCTGGGGATTTTTTCCAAATAAGACATAGCATCAAATTGTATAATGCACACTCTCAGTTTCACTTGCCCCATCTCTGCCCTTTCCCTTCCCAGAGATACCCAAGGAAGTTATTTGCTTGCAACAGGCAAATTAGAAACCTCATTCCACACAGTTCCAATGTATCATGCTTGAGCAATTGTGCAAGAAAGGACACGATTTAGTATCGCCAGGAAGTACATTTTTAGTAGCTCTTGTGCATATAGAGGCAACCTGCTAGCTTGAGAAGATCTCAGAGATAGAAAGGCTGCTTTTTAAAAAAATAGGTGGGTAAAAATTATAGTATTATGTTAAACGCTTCGAGCACTTGAGAAAAGAGATGATGGACAAGTACCAGGTTTTATATATAGTTGTTATTACCAATAGCCATGTATTTTGCCTTTTTTGCGTTTGTTTTAATTTAATCATCTGCTTCTATTTTATATCTACCTTCTCTGTTGGTTTTTCAGATTGGACAAATGGTCCTGGAAGATGGTCTTAGATGCTTAAAATTAAATTTTATATACAATTTAAGAATATTTACCATGTATTCTACTTCTGTGCTTTTCTTTTGCTTCAAACTTGTAAATTTTCAGGAAATGATCTGTTTTATGAGTAACAGATTAGAAACAAAACCATTGTAGTTTATTCCTTTCTATTTCTAACTTCATGATTTGGTAAAATTAGTGACTTAAAAATGATATACATCAAGGCCGGGTGCTGTGGCTCATGCCTATAATCTCAGCACTTTCAGAGGCTGAGGCGGGGGAGTTGCTTGAACCCAGGAGTTGGAGACAGCCTAGATAACATCACAAGACCTTGTCTCTACAAAAAATGTAAAAGAAAAATTACCCAGGCATGGTGACATGCACCTGTAGTTCCAGCTACTTAGGAGGCAGAAGGATCGCCTGAACCCAGGAGCTGGAGGCTGTGGTGCACCATCATCGTGCCACTGCACTCTAGCCTGGGGGACAGAGTGAGACTCCAACTAAAAAAAAAAAAAAAAGATATACGTCAGAGAACTCAGTAAATATTAATTGAATGGAGGAAGGAACTGTAGCACAAATAAGTCCCAAACAAGAGATTAATGTGTAGTCTCACTCTCTACTCTGTCTCTGTGCAGTCTTGGAAGTGGATCCTTGCACCAGTCATTCTTTATATCTTTGAAAGGATCCTCCGGTTTTATCGTTCCCAGCAGAAGATTGTGATTACCAAGGTAAAGAATATGCACTTTCCTTTTGCTGTGATAAGAGTTCTCTTCTACCTGATTATAGAACTAAATTGCCATTTTGTCACCCTGAAGAGAATAAAAAGGGACTTGGGGACAGCAGACCTCAGTTTCTCCAGTGCTGGACAGAACTGGGAAAGAGAAGTTTGGAAGAAATCATCAGGATAGGTCTATGTCAGAGAATGCAAACAAGTGGCCTAGGCCAGATCTAGCCAATTGATATATTTTGTTTGGCCCACACAATGTTTAAAAAGTTGAATTGGTGCCAACACTTAAAAATCTGAATGGAGGCTTGCACATTAAAAAAAAAAAAGACATTTCTTGCTTCTCACGAAGAATCAGGAAACCTAATAAGACTGAGTCATCGTTCCATATTGCAACCATTGTCTGGAACTAAGTAACTGCTGCCACCTTTAGAAAGGATTTGCACCATCACCAATCCCTCCAACTTCACTCTTCTACTTTATCTGCCTACCCCTGTAGCCATTTAAGTTTGCTTCCTTTGGTCTATGTGCTTCATTCACAGGTGGTCATGCACCCATCCAAAGTTTTGGAATTGCAGATGAACAAGCGCGGCTTCAGCATGGAAGTGGGACAATATATCTTTGTGAATTGTCCCTTGATCTCACTTCTGGAGTGGCATCCCTTTACTTTGACCTCTGCTCCAGAGGAAGATTTCTTCTCTGTTCATATCCGAGCAGCAGGGGACTGGACAGAAAATCTCATAAAAGTTTTTGAACAACAGTATTCACCAATTCCCAGGTAGGCCCTTGAGATCCACAGAGACTCAGACCAGGATGCAAACTGGCAGAAAAGAGAAAGCAATTCCTCACCTTAAGTCTAGTATAATAGAATAGATTAAAATAAAGAGGCAGAAGTCAACTGTGGGAGCAGCTATGTTTCTGGGAGGATGTTTGAGGTTAGGGGTGGAGATGAGACTTCACTTGCCCGTTGTCTTCTGTCTTCTGCCAGGATTGAGGTGGATGGTCCCTTTGGCACAGTCAGTGAGGATGTTTTTCAGTATGAAGTGGCTATGCTGGTTGGAGCAGGAATTGGGGTCACCCCTTTTGCTTCTATCTTGAAATCTATTTGGTACAAATTCCAGCGTGCAGACCAGAACCTCAAAACACAAAAGGTACACTCAATACCACGTTTCATTTGGCCTGGGCCCGACGGGTCTAGTCCCTTAGTGGGCTAAATTCTTTCTTTACAATTGACAAGAGAGTAACCTTTCTCTGGAGTTATGAGAATGAATGATCACTTGTCTTTGCCAGGGCATCCACTTCTACGGATTCACCATAAAAGCAGGGCCTTCTTTTCCATTTGGAGTTTAAAATCACCCTAACCCAAAGATGATCTTGGAATGCTCTTTACATTACAGAAATTGTCAGACCTCTGAACATTCATGCTGTCTAAGGTCTACTGCTCTGTAAAGGTGATTTGCCAAGTCACTGTTGTCGTTTGTGTGTGTATGTGTGTGTGTGTGTGCGCACGTGTGTACGTGTGCTCTCTCTCTTTCTTTCTGTGTGTGTGTCTCTCTGCTCTTCGACTTATGATGGAGTTACATCACAATAAACCCATCAAGTTGAAAATATTGTAAGTCAAAAATGCATTTAATATGCCTAACCTACTGAGCATCATATCTTAGCCTAGCCTATCTTAAACATATGCAGAATACTTACATTAATTAGCCTATAGTTGGATAAAATTATCTAACACAAAGCCTATTTTATAACAAAGTATTGAATATCTCATGTAATTTATTAAATACTGTGCTGAAAGAGAAAAAACAGAATGACTGTATGGGTACTTGAAGTACAATTTTCACTGAATGTGTATTGCTTTTGGACCATTATAAAGTCAATAAAACATAAGTCAAACCATTTTAAGTCAGGGACCATCTGTATATATTTGTATTACTACAGTGTACATTATAAAGGGCACTTAAAAAGGTTATTGTCTCTCTTGCTGATTTCAGATCTATTTCTACTGGATCTGCAGGGAGACAGGTGCCTTCTCTTGGTTCAATGATCTATTGACTTCCCTGGAACAGGAAATGGAGGAATTAGGCAATGTGGGTTTTCTAAACTACCGTCTCTTCCTCACTGAATGGGACAACAACATTGTGAGTTCAAACAACACACTAATTCTCGTGTTAAATGTAAGGTGATTGTCAGACAAAGGATAGCGCATGCTGATAAGAAATAATTATTTCTTATGATGTCCTACCTGCTCTCATCCTCACACACACCCAAGTTTTAAAGCGACTGAAAGAAGAAGTAGCTTTGAGGACTCGCTTTTTCTTTTTCCTTTTTTGTTTTTGAGTTGGAGTCTCATTCTGTCACCCAGACTGGAGTGCAGTGACCGCTTCCGGCCACCGCAGCCTCGACCTGCTGGGCTCCGGCGATCCTTCTACCTCAGCCTTCCAAGTAGCAGGAACTACAGGCGCGCGCTACCATGCCCGGCTAATTTTTTTGATTTGTTGTAGAGATGAGGTCTTGCCAAGTTGCCCAGGCGGGTCTCGAACCTGCATGCTCAGGCAATTCACTCACCTCGGTCTCCCAAAGCGCAGGATTACAGGCTGAGCCACTGAGCCCGGTCAAGGACTTGCTTTTTCTAACTTTTAATTTTATGACTCCAGGTTGGTCATGCAGCATTAAATTTTGACAAAGCCACTGACATCCTGACAGGCCTGAAACAGAAAACTTGCTTTGGGAGACCAATGTGGGACAATGAATTTTCTACAATAGCTACCTCCCATCCCAAGTAAGTATATTCTCCTCTAGTTAGTTGAGTTTGCAGAGTTAGAATTTAGGAAGAGTGTTACAGCGTGTTGAACACTCTTGGGAAATGATCTCTGGGGCAGAAACTGCACCATTCTTAGATTCTTGCTGAAAACTGAGGACATTTCATCCGGGTTTTTAGTAAAATAAGGGTTATGATCTTGCAATTGATGAGATGACCTTTCTGCCCAGCAAGCCCCTATTCAAACAGTGAGGCAAGGAGACTCAGTTCTGATCTATGCTACTAAACAAACTAGAGCACTGGAGTAATTCAAATGCATTGGGGGAAGGGGGCTCAATAACCTCTACTTAAAGTAATGAGGATATTATCTAGTTCACTGATCACTTGAGTTCAGTCCTTCTGGAGGGTTTTGGAGACATGCTACTACAGCATACAAGAAAACCTGGTGCTGTGAAACCAGTCATTCCAATGGGAAGGAGATGAAGCTGATCATAGTAGATAAACTCCCTAAACAAGTTGGCAGATGGAGATCAATTTAATTCCACAAACATTGTTGGTTACCTTTTATAAGCACTATTCTAGAAACTTTGGAGGCTGAAAGAGAAATTGGATATGGTTCTTGCCCTGAAGTAGCACACATTTGAATAAGAGGCATACACAATCACCTCAAAGCAGATTGATGCACACCATGAAACAGGCGCATGGACACCCGAGAAAGTAAGTCTATGGCCACATGGGGTGATCAGGAAAGGCTTCCTGAAAGCAGTGACCAGAACACTTAGTGACTCAGATTCACATAATCCTGGGTCCTAATCCTGGTTCTTTTGTGTGTTTTTTTTTTTTTTTGAGTTGGAGTCTCACTCTGTCACCCAGACTGGAGTGCAGCGGCCGGAGCGGCCACCACAGCCTCGACCTGCTGGGCTCCGGCAATGCTTCCCCCCAGCCTTCCAAGTAGCTGGAACTACAGGCGCGCGCTACCACGCCTGGCTAATTTTTGATTTATTGTAGAGATGAGGTCTCGCCAAGTTGCCCAGGCCGGTCTTAAACCCGCGGGCTCAGACAATCCACTCACCTCGGCCTCCCAAAGTGCTGGGATTACAGGCTGAGCCACCGAGCCTGGCCAATCCTGGTTCTAATACTTTCCAGTTCTGAGACCTTGAGCTAGAAAACCCTGATCTTCAGATCCCTCATCTATAAAACATAGGTTATATTAGTAAATGCCTGCTCTGCTCACTTGCAGGGTTATTGTGAAGATTAAGCAAGACAATATATGAAAAATACTCTGTAAATCATAAAGCCCATATAAGCAAAAGAGAATGCCAATCACTGTGTTGAGTTGAACATAGTTGAAGTTGTGAGAGTGCATGAGATTGTCAAGAAAGAGAGAGAGTAGCAAAGGACAGAGTATTAAAGAAAACCTAGGTTGTGTGAAAAGGGAAAAAGAGAAACCAGGAAGTGAGAGTATGCAGAGAAGTGGTATCACATAAGCCAAAGGGGGCATATATTAGAGAAACATGGTCAACAGTGTTAGAAGAGTGGCAGCATCAGGAAACAGTTATTTATCTTAAAGATGATCTAAGTATATTTATAGACATAACAGGGGACAGTAGATAGGAATAAAATAAATATACAAAAGAGAGGAGAGAACTAAAATGGTCATAATAATGTATGGACAATAATAAGTGTTGACAAGGAAGTAGAGAAGTTGATATCCTACTACATTGCTTGTGGGAATGTGAAATGATATAGTACTTGGGGAAAACTCTGGAACTTCTTCCAAATGTTAAACATAGAGTTTCCATATGACCCAGCAATTATACTCCTTGGTATACACCTAAGAGAAATGAAAACATATGTTTACACAAAAACCTGTACATGAATCTACATAGCAGCATTACTCATAATAGCTAAAAAGTGAAAACAACCCAAGAATCCATCAGTAGAAGAATGAATAAAGCAAATGTGGTATATCCACATATGGGAATAGTATTCGTCTATAAAAAGGAATGAAGTGTTGATGTGTGCCACAACATGGACAAACCTTGAAAATATTATGCTGAATGAAAGAAACCAGACACAAGGGACCACATATTGTATGACTACATTTATATGAAATGTTCAGGATAGGCAAATTTACAGAGACAGAAAGTAGATTAGTGACTGTCTTGGGTTGAGGGTGCTAGTTGGGAGGAGATAAGGAGTGACTGCTAATTGATGGAGTTTCTTTTTACGATGATAAAAATGTTTTGGATTTAGATAGTGATGGTGGTTTTACATCTTGTGTTTATACAATAAAGCACTAATTGTACACTTCAAAGGGGTGAATTTAATAATATATGAATAATACCATAGTTGATTAAAAAATAGAGGTGTGAGGAAGGTATGAAAAAAGGAAGGAGAGAGTGAGACCCAGAGCATAGTTGGAAAGATTGACCTTGGCAGTAAAGACCACCACCTCTTCAATATGACCAATTTTGAGGTGGGGATAAGCTCACAGTGGATGGCTTTCATGGCAGCTAATACATATGGACTTATCAAGTACAAGACATTTTTCTAATTGCTTTACATATTCTCATTTAATCCTCAAAACAATCCTATTAGTGGGTACTGTTTTCATGCTCATTTTATAGATGGGAAAGCCTAAACACAGAGAGGTTAAGAAATTTTCCTAAAGTCCTACAGATGTGATAAATGTCCGAGCTAAGATTTGAAACCAGACAGACTGGCTCCAGAGTCTCCAGAGTCTGGCACTTTAACCACTGCACTGTACTACTTCTCTCTCTTTTTTTTAGTCAGGGTCCCAGGCCCGGAGTGCAGTGGAAATCATGGTTCACTGCAGCCTTGACCTCCTGGGCTCAGGCAATCCTTTGACCTCAGCCTCCCAAGTAGTTGGGACTACAGGTCCATGCCACCAAGTCTGGCAAATTTTTTTTACTTTTTATAGAGATGAGGTCTTGCTATGTTGCCTAGGCTGGTCTGGAACTCCTAGGCTCAAGCAATCCTCCCGCCCTGGCCTCCCAGAGTGCTGGGACTACAGGCGTGAGCCACTTGTTTGTGTTCTCAATAAAATAAGTAAGGCTGAGTGCTGAAAGTGAGAAGGGCTGAGAGCATATTTGGGGCTTGTGAACAAAAAAGGTAAAAAAAAAAGCTACCATGAAGAATGTGGGAATTAACAATCAATTTTTATTCAAGGTTGTTGGAAGCAGTAGAGGCCTAGTAGAGGCAGTTTCTCCATTCTAACAGCGGCCTTTGTCGCATCCAAGCCCTTACTATTCCTACAGGTCTGTGGTGGGGGTTTTCTTATGTGGCCCTCGGACTTTGGCAAAGAGCCTACGCAAATGTTGTCACCGATACTCCAGTCTGGATCCAAGGAAGGTTCAGTTCTACTTCAACAAAGAAAATTTCTGAGTTTTAGTCATCTGCGTTTTGTCTCTCCTTTGTGTCTACAATAACTTTACTGGTCTGGTCAGATTTGGGCAGTCACTTTAGGGTAATAATGTATCTCTCAAGCATTGACTCTTTTGATTGCATTCAACTTCATTACTTGAGCTTTACCAACATAAGAACTTGGGAAGCTACAGTAATTGTAAAACCAATGCATGGATCTTTTCTTGGGAAAATTACTGTAAATCCTCTGGAAAGCCATGGCTGCAGCAAGGCTTGAGAGCAGAGCTTTGGTTACACAATTAAACCCCAGGTGATTTTGTTGATTCTAAGTGCTACCATCTCCTGTACTTTGGTTCATAATCTCCCCTCCCACCCTCACAGAAGATTTCTGAGTAGGGTGACTTTTTAAATAAAAATTTATTGAATAATTAATGACAAAACATAATAAACATAAATAATAAACAATGAACATAAAATTACCAAGAACCCCATCCCCATATAACATTGACTATGTACATTTTTAACTGTTACTTTACATATGATTTTATCCAGTGTGAACAGCAATTTATTTTTTACTTATTTTTGCTTGTCAAAAAAGTGAAGGATTTTCTTCTTTACTTAATGAATGAGACTTATGTTACTTCTTATGAACTCTCCATCTGAGAAATAAAATCTTGAAAGTATGCTCATTGTAACTGAAATTCGCAAGTCAGCTATATTGTCATCTTGTATTGTTCTGTTAAAATTGTGAAAACTTGGGGGCAACCCCTTCAGGTCCCCTCCTGCTGTGGGAGCTTTTCTGTCCTCAATAAATCATGCTTTCTCAACAACAAAAAAAAAACAAAACAAACAGGTGGAAACTTGAACTCCATCTTAGATGACTTAGTCAACAGGGTTCATTACCACCATTTTAATTAAGGGGATTTATTAATGTCTAGTTTAAAAAATAACTTACAATTTTAATAACTTTTTGGGTTCCTACCTACCCATTCACTAAGGAAGCATTCACCTAATGACATAAACAAAATGCCTTCTCTTTCTCTATTTTTTATTTTTCCTATCTATCCAAACTTAGACTACAAGGACTCTTGGATGTTAACAGTCACAGTGAATTTCAAAGAAGCCCCAGGTTCTTAAAAGAGAGAAAAACTTCACACTTCATTGTGCCAAGACAATTCAGCTCATTACAGATTTATAGGAATGTTTCTAATTAATTGGCATTATAGCACCTATTTTTCTACCATTAAGTGACCAGGAATGAACAAATGGCTGTTTCTAATTACTTAGGAATTTCTATGGCTTGAAGGATTAGTAAGATCGATTTAGTCTCTAGTCTGAGCACAATAGCAGTAGGTCATGAAGTAGATAATTATTACACCAGTAAAAAAACAACACTGATGGGTGTTTTCATAGAGAGATACCACTGCTGTTGCCTATTTGTTCACCTGGATTTCAGCTACTAATTTAGTTTTAATAAGGCTTTGGGAAAATGCACAATGGAACCTTGCAGACATGTTTCCTATTAGACAACTGCTGACCCAATGACAACTTCTTCTTCAATGACCTTGATTTGCAATCTTACTGTTCCTTGAAGTCTATGAGTTCTTAATGAGAAAGGTGTCACTCTTGGTCTCAATGTCTAAACATACTTCTAGATATGATCGCTGCCAAAATCAACACCATCAAGACCCAGATATTCACAAAAGTAGGCAGAAAAGGTAATGAAAATAATAAACTAAGTATAATCAACATCCAAGTTGAACTGGGAATGAGCAGGATACCCAGAAAGCTCCTCAGCTGTTTTGAGCATTTTTCTTACTGTATAGTAATATGAAATACCTTATCCTGCACATGTTTGTTATATATCAAAGTAGAAAATCCCTCAGTTTCAATCTCTCATAAACTTGACTATCTTTGCATTCTTTTGCTTGATATGTAAGCAATATGCTATTACATTCTCTAAGCCTATAGCCAGGCTTTTAATTCACCTGACCATAATCCTAATCCAGGGGGTAGGATTCTGAGAATATAAATAGGCTCAAAAGTAGTTCCAGTAGAACTTTTACTAATTATTAAGGCAACTCTTAATCTTTTGAGGTTGGCCTGACGGAGAGAACCCATGTTCCTCCTTAATGCCACGAGAGAGAGAATTCTAGGCAGAAGACCCATAGGTTAGAGCTAATGGCACTAATTATGTTCCTAACTATCCACAGGGAAGCAGGCAGGAGCAGACCTAATGGGCAGTTTGACTGCTTGTGCTCTACATTTGGTCTTCTTAAAATAACTCAGAAGAATGTAAAAGTTTTAGGGTTTCCTGTGTTTTAAGTTCCCAGAATAAACTTGGTTATAAGGTAGGGCTGCAGGTTGGGAATTTCCTGGAAGATACAATGAAATGTATTTTGTTCATTTTATTTGTTGTTTTTATCCTGACCATATGAAAAACTAGTGGCTTTTTACATTTTTAAAGTTGATTACCTACACTGTTAAGTTTTAAAACAGACAAGTAAATGTCAACAGTCTCTTGTGTTGTCGACATGCACTCAAACCAGCACTAACACAATCTTTGTCTTAACTCTGAACTATGCACGTTTGATATTTGGATTTATCTAAAGCAAACACATTGATGTTCTAGGCTCTTTGCTTTGTTGGTCTGCTGACCATTTTACAGCTCTAAGCACATGTTGCTGTCTCCTAGAAGACTCAGAAGTCCTACAAAGTTTTTTAAGAGTTCAAAGCCTTATTATTCTTGCTGGAAGCAAACTAAAAAACTAAGTTCCAGAAAAACATTGCTTCTGAGAAATTCTCAAATATCATTAAGATCAATGGTTAACCTAAAGTAACAACAGAGCTATGGCAATATAACTTTAAAGTATAATATCGCAGTAAGGGTAGAAAACACATCTAAGGTTTCACCCTTGGTGTTCAGCTTTTTTAAAGCAAAAAGATCATGTATATCAATTTGCAGTGTACTAAAATTATGTTCAAAGTTTATTTCAAGTCACAGAAAATATACAAACTAAGACAACAAAATGAACTGATTTTGTTCTGAGAGAAGGTGACGAGAATCCTCCACCTGGCACTGATTTGAGTCATTCAAGGGTTAGGATGCAGAAGTCATCTTTTCTCAACATTTCAACAAAGTTATGAAATTTATTTCCAGATTTGTTGTCAGGTATTTTTGAAAACCTGTAATAAAAAGATGGGAGAAAGCCATTAGAAGTGGAGACAAAGTTCTCTTTAGAAAAAAAATGAAAAGGCTGGGGGAGGGAGGACAGGCATAAGATCAAATCACCAGGACAGATTTCCAAGGCGTCCGCCTCCTGCCTCCTGCAAGCTATCATCCTTTGTAGCAGGGTTTCTCAACCTTAGTACTATTGACATTTTGAGCTGAAGCACTCTTTGTTATTGAGAAGGGGGTGGGGGGGAACTGTCCTGTGCATTATGGGATGTTTAGCAGCATCTCTAGTGTGAATGTCAGGGGCACCTCCTACTCCCTAAAGTTGTGACAACCAAAAATGTCTCCAGACATTGCCAAATGTCTCTTAGGGGGCAAAACTGCCCCAGCTGAGACCCACTGATCTCTAATGGTAGAAAAGTCTGTCAGTGATGGCAGAGATGCATCACAACTAGCTATATATAGGATGAGGGGAAAGTCAACATTTCAGCCATAGTGTATACAAATACCAGTAGACACCAAGTAAAATTTTGCCCATATAAAACTGTATAGAATTTCATGTGCATATATATAAATTACTGTAGGTTTAAGAAAATGGTGAAAACTGAGTAAGGTTTGTAGTCTAGTTAACAGTAATGTGCAATGGCTTTGTACTCAAAGCAAAAAGGTATTATACTATAGTAATTTAAGATGTTATCATTGGGAAAAGTTGGGTGACGGGTACATGAGACTCTATACTATTTTTCCAACTTCCTGTGAGTTTATGATTATAAATATTTCAGAATAAAAGGTAAAAACCAGACAAAAACTTTGCCCCGTGGTTAATGTGCAAGGTTTTAAATTAGATATCTTATAAGTAAGAAAATAATGAAAAAACCTTAAGAAGAAAATAGAATGCTTGGGGTATATGGAATAAAGTTATGATACTGGTCATACCAAAAATCTAGACAGCTATCCATTTATGATGGTTTCTCATTAGCTCATTCATTTAAAGTCTAAATAGAGATATGATGCATAGTTGCAGTTTGACTGTTTAAAAACAAAAATATTGTTTACAAATATAGATTAAAATAATATATTTAATAACAGTGATAATTAGTATAAACGAGTTCAATATTATAACACATGGATGTGCTATTTTTTATCCCATATGGATGGGAATTATAATATGGATGGGATAAAAAGGAGAAATTCAAAATGTGATATTTTAGCTGATATTGGACAATGTGAATTTTAAACTAATTTTAGTTATAATTGTTCATAAAATACAAAGATGTTGAGGAAAAAATTTCTAAAAAGAAACATCAACACATGCACATGCATTCAACTTAAGTCACATGATTATTTATGAGGCAGGTTATCTGAATCCTTTTTATCTAACTGATGAGCTAGAAAAATGAGGGTAGCAGTACACAGCAATCTCCAAAATGTATAGAAACTGATGTGACGGTGGACATTTACTACCTTATGTATTGGAACAGTTCAACATCAAAATATTCATTATAAAACAAATATAGAAAACTATAATATTTATAAATTTTATTGAAATTCTTTGTATTTTTTCCATCTTGATGGGACAGTTTGGAATTAAAAAAATACAACTGATTCTGGAAGGATACACACCAAACTATATTTAGGGGTTCTATCTGGGGAGGAGATTGAGGAAGCAGGGTTTTTATCTTTCACTTTCTGCATCTGATTAATTCTGTTAAACTGATCATATAGTACTTTTGTCATTAGGAAAGAAAGGTTAAAAAAGATAAGCAATTCAACAATTAAGCAAATGTTCGATAGCCTTACTCTGTCTCTAGAGGAGCCGAACTACTAAAGGGTAAAAGAGAATCTAGTTTAAGACTATTGAGGGCCTCAGAGAGAACAATCCTATTGGTTAAGGTTGAAAATATACACAACCAGAATACATGAGGAGCTAGTCCTACTCAGGTGGGATTAAGTTTGCTCACTTCTCAAGGCGCTCCAGTGGATTTCTGTATTTGTTCCTTTAAGATCAGGATACTCTGCCTTTGTTCAGGAGGCAGCATGGCAATCTGGTCTGCAGTCAGTTGTAGAACCTGCATAATCAAAGCAGCCTGTGCAGAGGAAAAAAAAGATAATGAGTGTTAATGATGATCATGAAAAAAAGACACCATCAGTTTCTGTCCAAAAAGCTGCGATATGGAGCGAAATGAAAAGATCTTCAATGAGTTCAACGAAGTGAGAAAAAAAAAATTTTTTTCTTAAATTGCTTTTTTTACTCATATCTGTATAGAGATCATAATTTTTCACACACAAAAGGCCAAAGGGAGAAAAAAAATTTTTCACACACACAGAGTGAAAAAAAAATTTTTTTTCACACACAAAAGGCCAAAAAAAAAAAATTTGGTGAGAAAAGGCACAATGAAAAGGACAAGTATAAATTAAAATATCTACAATTAGATGATTCAGAACAGACACCTTCATGAACTCAAAGTTCCTGCAGACTAAGATGGTATCTGAGCCCTGAGAATTATACAGTTTTTAATCCTGTTTTGAAAGTCACTCCTTTTCACAAGTTTTAGCCTTTACATCTGAAATGAGCTCCCCACAATGACCAAATATAAAAACAGAAAGATATATTCATGGGGGGAATCTGCTATTGTTTTTAGCGATAAAGTGGAAAAGGAATGAATGAAGAAAGTAGCATGGGTTTTCAGGTCAATTTGGCTTACACACACACACACACACACACACACACACACACACACACAAAACCTGCTATTGGCTGATGAGTTTGAAATATAAAATAAGCTGCCATTTATATTCACTTAAGAACTTTATATCCATTAATAACTTTACGACCAGTACCACAACTTTTCAGGTAACAAGATCATAAAAGAGTTCTAAGTTAGTAAACATCACCTCCAAAGGGACATTGAAGACCCAGGATTGCCACGTGGTAAATGTGAAAAGAGGAATTAAAAAGACTAGAATTGTGCATAAGGAGCCAGTCAGACAGTGTTGCTTACCTTCTCATGATCCTGTGGAGTGACTTGGTTCTGTCCAGGACTAAAGCCACCAGGCTGGCTTCCAGCCTGCATATTTGCTCCCTGCATGCCTGTTCCCTGCATGACTGGGACCTACATGCACAAAGAAAGGAGAGATCTTTGGAATTCCTGATGTATAGGTAATGTGAATCCAGTAATAGCAATGTGAAAAATCATGATCACTATACAGATATGAGTAAAAAAAGCAATTTAAGAACTCTGAAGATCACTTTCTACTGTTAGCAAAAGCAGAAGGCAGGGTTTAGCCAGAGATCAACTAGCAAGTTAGTCATACTTGCTTACAACAGCTCCAGCATCAACAAATATCACACAGCACAGCTGGATATTACCAAATTAATCAGAATTCAGCCAAATAAGCTTAGGAAAATCTGAGGGCACCCTGGAAACTAGTGTTCAGTGGAAATACAAATGAAAGCCAACAGATACTAGAGAAAATGCATGCTGGTCCACTGGGGAAGTTCCAGTTGCAGGGCTATCCCCACCTCTAGTTCAATCAGACATAAGTAGTTCACCCCAAAGGGCCTTATCCCACAAGTGAGGCAGAGGTGATCATCATGTCAGAGAGGCAGAAAGGAGATGAGAAGGCCTCTGGGGAGAAAACTGTTATTACCCCAACATTTGCTTTTTATAGCTTTCCATAAAGAATATATGGCAGGTGCTTTCTACTAAATGTAGAACAAGAAATATGACTGACCCAAGTAAAAGAACAAAGTTCAGTTATCCCATACTTATTGGTATTTAAGATCCTCAATGAGTTCAACCCTTTGGAAGACTACCAGAACCCAAAGAAAAGACCTCTGAGCAGCAACTGAGCATAACTTTTAGAAGGTTCCTAAACTACAGTTATGTTCACTCAGGCATTCACCCAGAGCTTTGGTCCTCTCTTATTAAACACACATTGTTAACAAACTTGTTACCGGCTTCCCCAGCATATTAGAAGCAGCAAAGCATAAAACAAATATGGATAAACAACTCTTAGGAGCAAATACCATGGCAGCAACATGAAGAGCCAGGTAAGGAGACCAGAAACCAAACAGGAGATAACTATGCTTTATATTATAGCATATACAATAATGGATCTACTTAATGGTGACCTTGAGTAGTAAAAATGATTAAAATCATTTTTCTGTATCCTATGTTTACCCTGTTTAAGAAGAAAGAAAATACAAAATACATCTTATAATTTTTCATTAAAATAGTTTAAAAACTTGGCAGAATAGCGCTATTATCTAGAACATTCACTTATATGAATTAGCTCATTTCCCAAAGACACCAGATAGATGAAGCATTAATACAGATTTGTAGAGATTTCTAGAATATTATCACTGCTCTGTTCTTTATCAATACTGAATCCAGAGGCCAGTCTGAACTTTAATGAGCTCTATGGATATGAAACACCTATGAGTATAATCTTTTTGAAACTTCAGTTGATACTAACTTGAGGTACTGTAATATGATCTAATCATTTAATAATGACCATTTTAAATTTTCAGGAGTGCCTGTACTAGGCAGATAAGTACTAGCAAGAGTGACCATACATCTCAGTTTGCCTAAGACAGTCCTCGTTTATGCTTTTGCCCCATAGTTAATTATTAACAGCATTCACTTTCATTCTCAAATGTGTCCTTCTTTAGATGATAAATTATATAACCACCCTAGTAATAATAAGCCTTTAACCCACAAGTTTCCAACTTAGGTAGACTGGAGTTAATTTTAAAATCTGACTTAAAATTTTGAATTAGAGACATGTTGTTAAGTAAATAAAGTACAGAACAGTGAAAGGGGAAGAATAAGACTATATATTCATATTCATTAGAAAGAAACATTAAAAATCTAATAAAGGGGAGACACATATAGGAAAAGAAGCAAGGTTTTTTGTTATTTTTTTGTTTTGGGGATGGGGGGGGTCCTGCTATGTTGCCCAGGTTGGCTTCAACTCTTGGGCTCTACTGATCCTCCTGCCTTAGTCTCCGCAGTAGCTGAGACTACAGGGTCATGCCTAGCTTTTATTATTATTATTTTTTAAAGACATGGGGTCTCACCATGTTGCCCAGGCTAGAGTACAGTGGCTATCCATAGGCACAATCAGAGCATACTACAGACTTAAACTCCTGAGTTCAAACAATACTCCTGTCCCACCCTTCTGAGTAGCTGGGACTATAGGGGCACGCCACTATGTCCAGCCTGAAAAGAGGTTCTTAATGTGCATGTTTTATAAATGAATGAATGATTACATTTATTCTTAAGTAAACATAGTAATCTAAACACTTTTAAAAAAAGTTTGAAGATAAAATTTTCTCTGCCTCAGGTCTAACTGGCTTTATAGAATCTACTAATGAAAACTATATAAGCCGGGCTCGGTGGCTCAGCCTGTAATCCCACGCTTTGGGAGGCTGAGGTGAGTGGATTGCCTGAACCTGTGGGTTCGAGAACCGCCTGGGCAACTTGGCGAGACCTCATCACTACAACAAATCAAAAATTAGCTGGGCATGGTAGCGCGCGCCTGTAGTTCCAGTTACTTGGAGGGCTGAGGCAGAAGGATCACCGGAGCCCAGCAGGTCGAGGCTGCAGTGGCCAGAAGCAGCCACTGCACCTGCATTCCAGTCTGGGTGACAGAGTGAGAATCCAACTTAAAAAAAAAGAAAAAAAAGAAAAAAAAAAATCTATATAAATCTAGTATTAATGAGTCCAAGTATTAGCAGAGAAAAGGAGCAAGAATGTCTTTCTCCATGGAACTATCAGCACAATTACATAAGCACATTATGCAGTTATTTGTTATCTGTCTCCCCAACTAGAATATAAGCCCAATGTGGGCAGTTTTGTTCTGTTCACACTGCTATATCCCCAGAACCTAGATCTATGTTTGGTACACAGTAGGTACTCATTAGATATTTGCTGAATGAACAAATGCATAAAAACCACTTCTATTATGAGGCTACTGAACAGAGAGCACAACAAAAATCAAGGCCCACAGATACATTTTTCTAAAGCAAGACTTGACAAACAATAGAGAAGAGTTTTATCTACATACACTAGAAAAAATTTTTTATTTCAGTTTAAAGAGGGTATAGACACATACCCATATACAAGCACACACACATAAACATGCAGATAATAGGACAGAGTAGTTGAGTGGAAAAAATAGTGGATTCTATTCCTTGCTCTGCTACTTTTTAGTTATGTAAATTTGGTCAAGTCCCCTGAATTCTTAGGCCTTAGTTTCCAAACTTGTAGAATGAGGGAAGTTGATGATTGTCATGTTCCATCCCAGCTCTGACATTATCTTTCTCTCTCTCCTTCCCCCTGCTACCCTCACATACAAACGGATGAAGATACATAAACAAATGGAAAAGGGAAGAGAGGTGAACACAGAGGATGGAGGAAAAAAGGAAGGTGGAGGGGCTGGAGGAAATGAAGATGTCAGCATATAAAAACTCAGGGAAGATATACACATACCACCTCCCCACAACCAATTGGGGATGAAGAGGGAGGTGATAACAACCATAGACCACCATATACACACAGTTGGAGAGGGCCACATAGAGAAGGAAGAGAGGAGACAAGACTTCAGTTCCACAGTTTTTAAGGTGATCATTAGTAAATTGCCTTTCATACTTCACTGCTCCCTTAGGCTATGTGATGACAGTAAATTAATACAGGTCGCTGCAAACCTAACGCCATCTAAATGACCACTAACAGCTCTTCATACACTATTCTTTAACCCTTAAATTTTCAGGGGTTCTGCTCTGAATGGAATAGATACTTATTATGGGATAAGGTTGTTCTTTTGAATTACAATCCTGATAGTCAGAAAATCACTATCCTAAGGGACAGAGAAACTATAGCAAGATCCTAGTCTTCCCTTTCTAACAAGCTGAGAAATAGCCCAAGTCAGAAGGCAATAATAACCAGGCTCAAAAATCAATTCCCAAACAGATCAAGAGTTCACTTAGATGCTAGAAATGAGTGTTACACCTACCTGTCTGGATCCCTGGGGACCAACCGCCCCCATGTTAATTGGATTGGGACCCTGGATTCCACTAGGTATAGGTCCTCTAGGGCCAGGCACTGGGCCCCTGGTATCCATGCCTCTGGCCTCCATCCCTCGGACTTCCATCGCACGGGCCTCCATTGCTCGGGCCTCCATAGCACGGGCTTCCATTGCACGGGCCTCCATTGCACGGGCCTCCAATCCTCTAGCATCTAATCCTCTTGCCTCCATGGCTCGAGCCTCCATCCCTCGTGCATCTATTCCTCGGGGATCTCTTCCACCTATAAAAAAGTTGTAAGAAAACCAAAGTGGGCCAGGTGTGGTGGCTCCTGCCTGTAACCCCAGCACTTTGGGAGGCAGAGGCGAGAGGACTGCCTGAGTCCAAGGGTTCGAGACCAGCCTGGACAACTTGGCAAGACTTGTCTCTACAATAAATCAAAAAATTAGCTGGGCATGGTGGCTCATGCCTGCAGTTACAGCTACGTGGAAGGCTGAGGCAGAAGTATCACCTGAGCCTAGTAGGGTGGCCGTGAGTGTGCTACTGCACTCCAGCCTGGACGACAGAGTGAGATTCTAAAAAAAAAAAAGAAAAGAAAACCAATGTGTAGCAGCTCACATGCAATGCAAGAAGAAATGAACAGTCCAAGAAAAGACAAATTTCTTTCTCTAGTCACATCTCCCCCCTCTACCATATAAGACTACTGTCTCCTCCCCAGTTTCTCAGACTTACAGATTCTTGCAAACCTACTGCTTCAGTACTCTTTATCCCAGAATCCCAGATTAAAGCCAGCCAGGTTCATTATCAGCCAACAACTACCGGTCAGCCTTGTGATGTGGTCTCCCCTTACCTCTGCCATCCAAAGGTGGACCCCTCTGATCTAGCATGGGTCCTCTTGGCTCTGCCATTAGAGGTCTGGGCTCGGCTAATGGCCCTCCCCTCATCTCATGTGGGGGTGGTCCACGGCTCTCATGGCCAGGGACATGGTGCATAGGTGGACCCTGATGAGGTGGTCCTAGGTAACCTCTAGAGATGGAGAAAAATGTTATCTTTTAAGACAGAACAAAAAACCAAAAATATCAACCAGAAGATTGGTAAGTAAATACTCAACAGAGAAGTGATATAAACATCAGTCTATGAATAACGCCAAACAAACAGATCAAAGAAAAGCTATAGGGAAGTAAATTCACATAGTTTGGAATTTCATATTTAGTCAAGACACTCATAATTAGGAACAATCAATGGACATTCATTATATGTATAATGAGTATGCAATATAGTGCTTAAGAACATAGGTTCTGGATTTAGACTGTATGAGTTCAAAGCTAGGCTCTATCACTAACTGGCTGTGTGATATTGGGCACGTTTACTTAACTTCTCCATACCTCAGTTCCTTCACCTGTAAAATGAGACTAATAATGACATTCATCTCACAGGGTCATTATGTGGATTTAATAAAATGATTTAAGGCCGGGCTCAGTGGCTCAGCCTGTAATCCCAGCACTTTGGGAGGACGAGGTGAGTGGATTGCCTGAGCCCGCGGGTTCGAGACCCGCCTGGGCAACTTGACGAGACCTCATCTCTACAACAAATCAAAAATTAGCCAGGCATGGTAGCATGCGCCTGTAGTTCCAGCTACTTGGAAGGCTGAGACGGAAGGATCACCGGGACCCAGCAGGTCGAAGCTGCAGTGGCTGGAAGCGGCCACTGCACTC